GGAGGTATTTGAATTTGTTCCTGACTCTGAAGAGGGTTTCTTCAGGAAGAAGGGTGATCTCTGTGAATTCATCCTTCATGGCTACGTTCTCCTCGGTAATGATGATAACATATTGCTGGGAGAAATTGAAGGTATTTATTTTGTATACCTGGTTTGGATCTATCTTGGGGATAGACCAGTTTTTGAGGCGATCTTCAACCTTAGCCAGATGAGCTTCGGCTGAATTATGCTCAGCTAAAATCTTTGAAAAATCATTTTCTGATTTTTGCTTGGTAGAAGAGGAAGAGGAAGAGGAGGCTGTGTCAACGATGGGTTGAGTATGGGGGGAGATTTTAGAAAGGAGTTTAGACAGCATGAGAGAGGAGAAAAGGGAATCTGGAGATATCTAGGAGATGAAAATAAGATCTTACTAAGTTCATATTCTTTTATTTTGATAATAATCTATCTGTTAATTAAATCGAATTCTTTGATCAATCGATCTTTATTCACACAATTTAATATTTCCTAACTAGAAATTCTCAATCATGAAGGTTAACCACGCCTTTATCATGATATCTGAGAATAGATAGCTAGAAGATGTTAAAAGTTTGAATAAGAGAGATACCCGAATCAGATTTATTTAGAAGATAGATTAAGAATCAAAAGGAAAGAATATAACCTTAGAACAATATTAGACCCATCTTCCTTCCACCCCCAGATTCAGAGAGGAGTTTACTCCATGAGAGAGAAAAGAAAAGAAAGAAAGAGTTGTGTTGGCTCTGATAACATTGACGGTCGAACCCATAAACACATGAAAACATCGATAAAAAAAAATAGCTACATGTAGACGGAAATTTAATACCCGATTACAACAAATTAATATAAAGTATAAATAAGTCATTTACAAGTAACAATTTTTAAACAATGTGGTTGCATGAAAAGTTGTCCATATTACTATATATTTATAGTCATATTAATAACGTTAAAAGAATAAAAGGGAAAACCCACTTTTAGATCCGTGAGATATTGCTTTTTTCTTGGTAAATCTCTAATATCATGGAAGAGTAAAAAGCAAGCAACAGTTTCAAGGTCATTTATTGAAGCAGAAAATGGATAAATGGTTGCAATTATTTGTGAGTTTTCTTGGTTGAGGTATCTTTTAAAGGACTTACATGTACCACATCCAGACCCCGAAAGATTGTTTTGTGACAGTCAAGCAACCTTATACATTGCTGCAAATCCTATTTATCATGAGCAGATAGAGCACATTGAACTAGATTGTCATACTGTTGGTGAAAGAATTCAAATAAGATAAATTAAAACGGTCTATGTATAGACTGGAAATCAAGTTGCATATATATTTACAAAACCATTGTGATCATTGACATTTCATAAACATCTCAACAAGTTGAGCATCATTAACATCCATGCTCATGCTCTAACTCGAGGGGAGTGTTAAAGGAAAGAAAATCAATTCCAATAATTAGCATTAATTCAAATTAGAGCTAATTTTGAATTTAGATTATTTATTTGTTATTGTATATAATTATTTTCCTTAATTGTTTAATTAGCTAAGTTAGCTTTATGCGGTCTTTACAGTGACACCCATGTTAATAGTAAGATAATACACAGAAATATATTTTATGGATTTTGATCGAAAAATGTTTTTCGAAAGGACCAAAGATGGTGGCCACCTACCTAAGATTTAATATCCTACGAGTTACCTTGTCAACCAAATGTAGTAGGGTCAGACGGTTGACCCGTGATTAATCGAGGTGCGCGCAAGCTGGCTCGGACACACGGATTTCAAAAAAAAAAAGACCAAAGATGAAGAAAAGAATGTAATAGGAACCTATATTTTAAATATTAAATTTATTAGAATTTGATGAAAAGATTTAAGACGAAATTGACAAATTGGAAAATAAATGGTAGAATTGAAAAATACACTGTGCGGAGGGAAAATGGCACATCCTCCGAATTTGTGGCTGGAAACAAACGGACACCACCACGAAGGCTTTACAAAAACACACACACTGTGAACTGTGAAGGCGGCGTAAGAACCAACTAAGAAGCGCAATGGCAGCGGAGCTCTGTTTGGCGCCACCCTTATCCACATGCGCCCAACATCGGCGTCCTCTCCAAAGCAGAAGAAACAGCCTTTTCCACCTCCCCGCGCTTCCACTTCCATTTTCCCCTCTCCTTTTCTCTTCTTCAACGACAACTACAAGAACCAGAGGCAGGGTCGTCCTTTGTCAGACTGCTCAAACACCTCTCTTCGATGCCGAACGCGCTGCTCAAGCTGGTCAAAATCGACTCTTGAAGGTTCTCTCGACTCCCCCACAACATTCATTTACAATTTCATCTCTCTTTATTTCCCAGCTCTTAGTTTTCAATAATTCCAGGTTCCCATATCGCACATTAGAAACTTCAGCATTATTGCGCACATTGATCATGGCAAATCAACTTTGGCGGATAAATTGCTCCAGATGACCGGTACCGTTCAGACGCGAGAAATGAAGGATCAGTTTCTTGATAACATGGATTTGGAGAGAGAAAGAGGCATCACGATTAAACTACAGGTCTCTTTATTCATTAGCTCTCTCTTTTATTACACAGTTACTGCGGGCTAACGGTTAAAATAGAACATTCCCACTTAAACATTCTTTAACCATACGCCTCATATATCCCCATTTACTCAGGAACTTAACTGTCCCTGATGCAAATGATGCCCTTCTTGCATCTAATAACTTCAATAGCTATGAAGTACTTCAATATTCCCAAGTCTTAGTATGAAGCTGACTGTGAAGGAAAGTTTTGGGAGATAAAATACCTGATGTATCTTGGTTTTGCTTTAGGTTCCTTCAAGTTTTGAAGGTTCTCTATAGATAGTTGTGAGACTTTTCCCTTTGCATCTTGGTTTTTCCTCTGGGAGATCCTAAAGAAGGCATCGTTTTATCTCTCAAATTCGCGAATAAAGGGCTATTTGTTTAGAAGCTCTCTCTAGAAGAAAGTTGGAGTTTCAAGCTGTACATGTTATAAGGATTGTTGAATTCGGGCTGAAATTTGAGCCAAATTTTCTTAGTTTTTCAAGCCTTGTTTCTTGAAGATAAAGATAACTTTGCCATTGTTTCTGATGTTCCAGATTGCTAAAGTTTATGTCGTTGCTTATTTGCAAGAGCGAGTCTAGTTTTGAAAGTAGCACATATGTTCTCTTCTCGTTAATCTTTCTTGTTGAGTTGGTTTGTGATGTAACCGTTAGTAGCCTTTAAGTTCTGTTATTAGCTTTTGTTTTAAAGCTTATGTTTAATAGGCTTTAGGTTATGTTTGGTAGGCTTTTAAGTTTTACCCATGGTAACTTTGTTTACCCTTACTTAGTTTTAAGCTAAGAATCCTATAAATAGGTTTCAACCCTTCAATAAAGAGATAGATTCATTCCTTACAAACTTGGCTAGATTAGCTACATCAGATTTGGTATCAGAGCTCCTCGTTTTTGGGCAATCAATGGTGGGCAARAAACCAACCACCACGGATTCTTCCCTGGCCAACAAAGAAGCGGATCAAGTGTCCGTTCTCTCACCACGATCATCAACCCTACGCTTGCAGTTGGTTGAAGGGGATGTGAAGACCGTCCAATGGGAAGTGAGTGAGATTAAACAAATTTTAGAAGGAATGCACGGCCATCTGRAAAGGCTGAGYATTCARCAAAACCMAGCAAGAAYGGTTCAAGAAACAAGAAGAACAGATCATCAAGGTGATTACTATCAAGAACAACAATGGGTGCAGCCAAGAAGACACCAAGAAAATGTTCTTGATCCAAGAATGCTCCAAGAACARAGGGCTGCCCGACAAGATTTAAACCAAAATCCCCTGTTTCAACGCATGGATGATARTTTCCTCSATTCTTCTAGTGGGGAAGAGRATATGCCGGAGCTGGAAGAAGGTCCTARGGGACGTARAGGTAATCAAAGACYGTACCAAGAACCARAYGAATACAAGATGAAGATTGATCTTCCAACTTTCAGCGGGAAGATGGAGATCGAAGGATTTCTTGACTGGGTGAAGAATGTAGAGAATTTTTTTAGCTATATGGGAACACCTGATCATAAAAAGGTTCAATTAGTGGCGTTTAAATTGAAGGGAGGCGCCTCTGCTTGGTGGGATCAGTTGGAGGTTAATCGGCGTCGGTATKGGAAGCGACCGATTCGTACATGGGAGAAAATGAAGAAACTGATGYGTGAAAGATTTCTTCCTATTAACTATGAWCAGATTTTGTACAATCAGTACCACAATTGTAAACAAGGTAMACGTTCWATKGTGGATTACGCTGAGGAATTTCACAGGTTAGGTGCTCGCACAAATCTTGGGGAAAATAAGCAGTATTTAGTGGCCCGTTTCATTGGAGGCTTGCGAACGGACATCAAAGAACAGCTGGCTCTCCAGCCTATTGGATTCCTCAATGAGGCAATTTCCACAGCAACAACGGCGGAAGAACAAATCAATAACAAGTACAAGAAACAATATACACGACGCAACACATGGGGCCAGACAGGAGGATCATAAAAAAGCCTTCCTCCTCGATGGGACAAAGTTCCTATCCCACTCCCACAGCATCGGGTACTAAAGCCAATCTGTTAGATTCTGACCCTACAAAAGGAGGTAAGGGCATTGATAACAACATAGGAAAACGCCCAGTAGGTACATATAACCGTCCAAATTTGAGCAAATGCTTTAGATGTGGTCAAACTGGCCATCTGTCCAACGAATGTCCTCAACGTAAAGCTATAGCTTTTTTGGACGATGAGGGTATAGGACATGATAGTGAAGAAGAAGAAGTAAACGAGGATAATTAGGTCGATTATATTGGGCCTGATGAAGGAGACTTGGTGACATGCGTGGTTCAGCACTTGCTCCTCACACCTAAAACAGAGGTGGCTTACCAACGCCATGCTCTGTTTAAGACACGTTGTACTATAAATGACAAAATCTGCAATGTCATTATTGATAGTGGCAGCACTGAAAACATTGTGTCAATCAAACTTATAACCGCTCTCAACCTATCTCTAACACCTCACCCGGCCCCATATAAGGTCACTTGGATAAAGAAGGGTGGGGAAGCACAAGTCACTCATACATCTACCATTCCTTTGTCAATAGGCACAAGCTATAGAGACCAAATTATATGTGATGTGCTTGAGATGGATGTGTGCCACATATTGTTAGGCAGACCTTGGCAATACGACACTCAAGCATTGCATAAAGGCAGAGACAATACATATGAGTTTACTTGGATGGGCAAGAAAGTGGTCTTGTTGCCCCTTACCCCATCCAAGTTACAAGCTCAGACGGATACTAGTAAGAATAAAGGTCAATTGTTCACAATACATTCGGCAAAAGAACTTATACCACGGAAAGAAATACCTATTCTGGGCTTGGTTATCAAATCTTTTGCTGTAGGAAACTCCAATTACCCCCTTCATC